GGAGAATGACGTTATTGAGTGAAAAGGCGAATAAATCTGGACGTGTGAATAGAGAAATGTACAGCTAAGAATGAAGCAAAACACCGTAACATTAGGAGACATACCACAACTGTGTCCAAGTCCGATCTAACNGCAACACACACATAAAACAATACCACAGTTGTTTTCAAGGTGTGTTCAACCACACGTGTGAACCATCAAAACAAGAAAAATAAAAGACAAAAGCCAATTTGTTTCCCGCAGAAACAGGGAGAAATAACATTCAGCTTTGTTTGTCTCAATATGTCCTTAGGCCTTGACTGTGTAAAATGCAAGTTTTTTACATTCACAATAATACAAAAATGTGAAATCTTCCAGGGGAGGTATACAAAACTTAGAAGATCCAGAGATCATGTGGTCAGAGCCATTGCAAACATAGAACTTTTTCTAGGACTGTATTCACACGTTTAATAGGTTCTACAGACTCCCCTATCACACAAGCTTAATCTAAGCTTCATCAAACAAAATATATACATGACTTAAGTACCGGCGTTTTGAGAGGTTTGTCCACGCTTGCTCAACTTTGTCAAGAAGTAAGCCAAGGCAACTTTTGCACCCAAGGCGGAGTGACCACGAGACAAGCAGATTGCGCCACCAACTGCACCGCCCACAAGTAACATACTGTTTGCAATCACTTTCTTTGAAGGCTTTCTCAACAGTTTCTTCCGTTTGGCTCCTTCACCTGTGTGCAGACCACTACTAGTAGTTCCCGAGGAGTTTGTGATGTCATCTGTCTGAATTTCTAACTCTGATGGAATCTGTGGGATAACACAAGGGTGATTTCAAAGAAGGAACAACCAGTTTAAAATTTTACGAACAGAGCACAAACCTTCCAGCATTTGACCTGCATACTGAACTTAGATTAGAATAAAAACCCACTAACATCTCACCTTTTTCATTAAGATGACAGCAGATACAGTGGGTCCTTGGGGTCTATGACTGGTTGCAATGTATTTACGGAGTGCATTGTCCATCTTACAAACGTAACTCCATATGCCTTTTGAGAAAGCAAGCTTCGCCATCTCAACGTTTAATCCAGCATCTTCCTGATGAAACATGTGGATCTCACAAGCATTCCTACCCGGAACTGTAGCAAATTTGAGTTTAGCAGTTATGCATAGAGGCAATGAAAGAATGAAAAAATCCTCACAGGCAAACACAGTCAGGACCCTTAATCACCACTGATAAGTCTCTCATCAAACAGATTTGTGGTTATGGTATGCAACATCAAGAGAAATTTTTGTCCAAGTAAGGACGGAAAAACAATAAACACTTGCCTTTCTTGATTCGCCAACCAGATCTGAAGTAACTTACACGTACATACTTCCTCTGCTGTGGTACTGTATTGTGATCACATTCCTGATAATAACCAAAGAGCAAAAACAATAAGTTCAGAGGTAATTTCTCTAAGAGATAGTGTGAAAACATAGTCCAAGGCAGTGTATTCGAGAAGTGATTGCACAGCAAAGCGAACACAAAGGTGCAAATGAAAAAAGCCAAAGCAAGTAATTTATAAAGCATAGCAATTACAAATACTGATCTCCAACTTCAGGTAAGCATGCGTAATTAGCTTGTTTCAATACCACTACTTTATTCATTTTACCTTGATGAAACAATAAAACTTATCCTTCCCCTCCCACAATTTCCAAGCTAATACATACTCCCTTGGTGTCAACAAGGGGAATTTTTTTATCGTGCGACCAATCTCAATCCCGCTACTACTATCAACCCGTAATTGCTCATGCTCAACCACGGTCTTATCCCATTGTTTCCTAAATTCATTGTCCATGTAAAAGTCCCGCAAAACCTCTGGCGAGCAGTCCTCGAATACCGTAGTACTTAAGTACTTCATAGGACCACCATCCTACAACAAGCAAAGCATAAACTCGGTTATCAGAGAAAACCTAATCTAACTAGACACTCAGAGTGTTGAAAAGCAAATGCTATTACTTTTGGTTTGCAGCATTTAGCAGTGTAAGACACTTGAGGATTACTTTTCTGAATAACATTTTCCCAAATCTCACCATCCTCATTTCCTTCCCCCAATTTCTCAATCAGGCCTTTCAGATCTTCATCAGAAACAAGTGTAGATATTCTGCAAAGCGTATACATGAAATCTCACATCATTAAAGAGAAGAAGAACAACATAAAGTATACTATTATAACTGAAATCATACAAGGCACAAGCACGAATTGAAAGAGAGGCTAAAGCTTATAAATTTGAGAGGGAACACAGTTGAGAGCTAAACAACCATTGATTAACGCAGCCAACAAATTCCGACAGAAAGAAAAAGGAACACACTTGACAAAGGAATTTCAAACCCTTTACCCTGATTGGGAGCTCGGAGATTGAGAAACCGAGACGAGTGGT